CAGCCACCTATCCAGCTCCTGCTGATTCACCTACTTGTTGAAAACAGACGCAAAAAAGGGCAAAGAAAAAACTCAAAGACTTGGTATTTGGCAGCACAAGAAACAGTGTCCCAGTCTTACCATCAGTCTTTAATTTCTATCCCCTCACCCAACAGTAGCATCTAAGGACCAACAAAGAACAGAACATCACTAATACATGTAACTCTGGACGATGGAGCAAACAGCCACAGCCAACTGGCCCACACCTGTCCAGCAGTAACCTGTAGAGCCTTTTCTAGTGTTGCAGCCATGCCCAGCCACAGAATAAAAGTAACTCTTCAAAAGCAAAAATGGAAAAAAGTTATCAAAGCCCTACACTCACGTGAAGCCCTTCCTCACTTTACAAATAGAAATAGTAAGGGTATAATAAGCTCTTAGACTTTTCTCTCAGGACTGTAACTTACTATATATATAATATAATTCACAGCTCAGTGGAAAGTTCAAACCATTGCACCACCTTCTTAAAAAAAAAAGGTTTTTTAGATCTTCAAAAACCCTCACAATGTTATCCTTCCTTCTCAAGTCCAAATTGCTGAGAGCTCAAGAGAAAAAAAAAAACCCACATAATTTTTATCAGTCCTTTTTAATAATATAAAGCAGTTCTATACCGCAGAGCATCATGGAACTAAAGCATGTGAGTTTACCACCTGCCATATAAACAAGAAAAAAACCCCAACGTTATGCTATTAGAGAAGCATAGCTTGCTCTCAGTGTTCTGATGGGCAATGGTTCACAAGGGTTCAAAAACACATCCGTGACTGGCCCAGAGCTGAGTATTTTTCATTCTGCACCACAGACCAGTATAGTTTTCAGGAGCTGTTAAAACACAGCTCCAGCTTGTTTGCTTTTCAACACTCCATGCATTATTTAGATCTAAAGAAAAATTATCTCAACAGCAGTCAGCATAATCTTTTAATTAATGGACTTCCTCATACTAGCAATCTGTTTATATATAAAAAGCAATAATAGTCAATGAGATAACTTAACTATTCATATTTCTTGTTTTAATAAAAGGGATGGTCTTCCACACAAGGAATAGACTTAAAAGTACAGCAAACATCGATGAAACAAAATTACCTATAGACCATTGTCAAAAAGATTATGTTCTCTTTATTTTCTTCTTTTTACTTAAGAAATTAGTATTTATAGTATAGATATAACAAGACCTAGAGAAATAATGAGATGAGAGAAGGAAACTAAGCATTTTAAATTTTGTCCTTAGCCTGTCTTCTTTGGGTTTTGTTTTTCTTGCTGATGCAACTTTTTGAATGTTAAGAGGTTTTGATGTTTTATATATTTTTTGATGGTTTATATATATTCTTACATATTTAGAATGTGTACCCTGTCCCTAGAACAACATCTATATACATCTCTAAAGATGAGGTAGTCAGGTGTTTATCTTGTACCAACCTGATTGTTTTATACTCAGAACTGTCTCCTATTAATAAAATTACATGTAATTTAGACCTGTCATCTTGTTTATCTATTATTTTGCTCTTGAAGATACAGGATCATTTCAAGGAATTTGGTGACATGCTTTGAGCAACAATCAGGAAGCAGCTATACTTCTGCAAGTAGCAGATAAATTGCATTTACAGAGTAAGTGTAGCAACTACTCTTACTTGCCTTCCCAAGTTAAAATAACGAATGAAATAAAGATAGCGTGAAGTGCAAAATAGCTTTTATCCCATTATCGGTCAAAGCTAGAGAACAGTCTCTGGTAGAACTTAAAAGAACTGCTGCAAAGACACATCCCTGATTTCTCCAAGGCTGTCACCAATATCGAATCTAGTCTCTCTGCGCGTCCTTCATGACTGCAATCCATTCCACTGGCTCAAAGAATTAATTTCAAATCAAGAATACATGTGTTGTACAAAGACCCAGTACCCTCTGATGCAGTCTGGGGTCTGACTGCCTGGGAGGCAGCTTTGCAGAAAAGGGCTCAAGGGCAGTAAGGTGGGCATGAGCCCAGTGTGCCCTGGCAGTAAAGAAGGGCAATAGCCTCCCGTGCTGTACTGAAAGTTGCGTAGCCTGGAGTTAGTTTTTCCCCTTTACTCAGCACTTGTTAGACTATACAGAATCATAGAATGGTTTGGGTTGGAAAGGACTTTAAGATCATCTGGTTCCAATCCCCCTGCCATGCGCACAGACACCTTCCATTAGCTCAGGTTGCTCAAAGCCCCATCCAAGCTGGCCTTGAACACTTCCAGAGATGGGGCATCCACAGCTTCCTCTGGGCAGCCTGTTCCAGTGTCTCACCACCCTCACAGTAAAGAATTTCTTCCCAATATCTAATCTAAGTCTGCCCTCTTTCAGTTCAAAACCATTACCCCTTGTCCTATCACTACAGTCCCTGATAAAGAGCCCATAACTATCTTTCCTGTAGCCCCCCTTTAAGTACTGGATGGCTGCTATAAGGTCTCCCTGGAGCCTTCTCATCTCTAGGCTGAACCACCCCAACTCAACTCAATTATCTTCCTGTAAGAATGACCAATCCAATGCACAAAAACATTCACAAACTTAGAAATATAACTGTACTTTGAAATTTCATTCCATAAAATGCCATTTTGCGATGCATTCCTTCTCAGAAAGGGTCCCGTATCACATTTTATAGCAAAAGATCTCTCCATTTGCTACAAAGAAACCAAACTCAAGCCTAAAAACAAACCATAATATAACTCCAAATATGAGTGAATTCCTTATTTAAAAGTAAAACACCTTACAAGATATACAAAACCCAATAGATTTTCAGAGCTAAGAAATAAAGAGGTATTTTTACTCAGTAAAGTGGTTTGACAAGCATGGATCACTTCCAAAACAAATGAAGAACGCAAAATTTGAAAAGTTTTGAATGTGAACCCATGTGAACCAGTAATACTTATTGAAGTGTTTGCTAATTTAGTCCAGCTACCATCAGCTATCTTTTGTTAGTATGATGTTTTCCAAAATCTGCTCTTCTCCAGTGCTGAATAGAAGAAAACAAAATTCATTAAGCAATCTGCCTAATGCGCCTATTGTAATGGGATAAGTATTAATAGTTAGTAATTGCCAAAGTATTCTATCAGTTTATATCTTCAATTTGACCATTATTTTTGTAGCATGACTTATTCAATGATCCTAGGTCAAGGGAGTGCATGGTGAATAAACTGTGCTAATAAAACATCGGCTACATCACCAGGAGCCACAACTTGAAAGATATAAAGAAAAGCAGGGGACTGTATCAGGCATTCTCAATGATGTAAGTCCAGGATGATAGCTGAGGTCTGTTACTTGTGTTTGCCTATTACTGGTGCTTGGCTTGGTACGTCGTCCTTGATACCTGGCTGTAATTCAGATGCCACACAATTCCATTACAACTGGAAAACAGTTTTAAAGACATGCAGGGAAATTTTTTAACTGGGTCAAGAACTCTGCTGGAACCTTTTTCAAATTACCATATGCCTCTTGGAGTATTTTTTATGCTCTTGCTTATATAATGCAACGGTAACTTTGTATGGACACAGATGTTAGGAAGAAAAACATTTTTATTTACTCTTATTTACAGGCAACTTTCCTTTAAGAATTTGGTCATTTTATGGCTCCTTCAGTATTTATACTGCCAAATCACTTCAAATGAGCACATCCTGGAAACTGTCAGCCCTTAAGAATTAAAACAAGGATGAGCTGCATGGGTTTTCTTTTGTTTGCTTTTTTCCCCAAGCTCATGCAGAATGAGCAAAATAAATATTGCTTCACAAAACATGGAGAAAAAGCAGCAGCATCAAGCAAGCGCAGGAAACTGATATGAAATTTACACTGTATTCCTTAAAGACAAGAATGTTCAGCAGTTTTATATAGTGAGAGAGAGACTGTAGATTTAATATCCAAACTTACTAAATTATAATAAATTCATTAAATAGATTTTTCTGGCCTTACAGGCAACTACCACTGCAACCACTTCCATCCCAGTACATCTTTATTGTTAAAAAGGTTCACTTAAAACAGAATGGCACAAATGAATTCATCAAGACCACTGCTATTACAATGAATCATTAATATCATAGTGAAAATTTTATTATTATGAATAATACATTCAGAATGATGAGACAGAAAATGAAGCATTACTCTGCAATGTATCAGAGAGAATCAAAGTGATGTTATATAAGTTGGCAAGATAAATACCATTTTTTGTTCTAAATCTTTCTAAATGTATTTTCAGATGCTTTACCTTTATTTTATTTTCTCATCAAACATTTATATTTTAGCTGAAGAAAAAACAAATATCTCAAGCAACATTCTTCCCTTTGTATAAATATCATGTCCAAATATACCCATTAGTTTGGTCACAAAACCAGTACTGCCCTCAGAAGGCACATTTTTGTTTTCAAAACATTTATTTGAGCATATGTGATTGTGAAACAAAACCATTCCTTTGCAAAAAATAGCAAAGTTAATTTTTCAAACTATTGTATCTACTGCAGATATCATTGACTTAAATGACAAACTGATTAGACGAGATAATTTTGATACTTGCACTATTACTCTACTCGGTTAGGATATTAGAAGGACTTAAAGTAATAATCATGTCAACGTAAATGTCACAGAATAAAACCTTACCACAAATAGAATAATCACTGTCTTTCCTGTGGACTTAAAATCAGAGTCATCAAATGTGTCTGAGTTGCAGTACACAGAAATTGCACTGAGTTCGGACAACCAAAATAACAAGCACATTACTGAGATGGACTTCTGGAGCTAATTAGTTCTGAAGTGAGCCCCAAATAGAAAGCATAGCATTAGACTCCAGCTAAAGGGCCACAACAAAGAAAAAATTGAACTTCAAAGGGAGATCAAATAATACTCATAATATTGATAATTTAATTTGTCCATTCTCCTAGACAGATTTATGTATAGCACATCAAAAAAAGCAATAGTATAGCTATATCCTTGCTTCATACATGACACTTAAAACACTGCAGTACCTTAGAATTTGATGTGGATTCCAAAAAGCAAAGCCTGTTGCCAAAGCCTTCCGCAGCAAGACACAATTTCTGTTGCTCCTTGTGAACAGTTGTAGTACACTGCAGAACCACTTCATCATCCTACCAAAAACCAAACAAAAATAGAACAGTGGTTATGCTTCTGACCCAACAAGATCTGGAGCGCACTTAAAAAATCATTGCTAAACTCAGAAACAGTTATCTGTGAACACAAGCAGAACGAATCTCAGCATAATATTTATTCTCAGAGTTGTGAATGTGAGCAAATTAATTTATATAATAACTATATATGTGCTTTTCCTGTTTGTCTATCCTTGTAACAAAAGTCAGTATGTATGAAATACAAATGTTATGGGACTATCCTTGTGGTAGTATACTCAAAGGAGGTCTTGTCAACAAACCTGAAAGAACAGAAACAGACCCTTACTTAAATCCCAGTTCTTCAAGTAACATAACTATTAGCTGGAGACTCCCTTTGCAGAAATATGGTTTAAGTTAAAAAGAAAGAAAATTTTGTTGTAATGAATCTATTTGCTAGCAAAGGTTTTCTGTTTAAGAATAGAAGAAACACGCACTGATGGAGCTCACACTACTGAGGGAAATGGGAATAAAAAAAGAGTATAGTCAGGACCCTGAATTTTAAGAAAGCTCTTCAAGGAGATAGTCAGAAGGACTCCCTGGGAAATGGTCCTCAGGGACAAGAGAACAGAACAGAGCTGGCAGATCTTTAAGGATGTGAACCACAGAGCGCAAGAGCTCTCGATCCCTAGGTGTAAGAAATTGGGCAAAGAAGGGAGGAGACCGGCATGGCTGAGACAAGAGATGCTGGCCAAACTAAGGAGGAAGAGGGAACTGCACAGGCAGTGGAAGCAGGAACAGGCACCCCAGGAAGAGTATAGGGACACTGCCCGGTTGTGTAGGAATGGGGTCAGGAAGGCCAAGGCACAGCTGGAGCTAAACTTGGCAAGGGATGCAAAGAATGACAAGAAGGGTTTCTACAGGTGTATCAGCCAGAAAAGGATGGTTAAAGAAAGCGTACCCCCACTGACAAGCGAGACCGGCAAGGTGGTAACAGCGGACGTGGAGAAGGCTGAGGTACTCAACAACTTTTTTGCCTCAGTCTTCACTGGCAACCTCTCTCCTCACCCCTCCCGAGTCAATGGATGGCATGAGGGGAACCGGGAGGGTAAAACCCCTCCTGCTGTAAGAGAAGATCAGGTTCGTGACCACCTGAGGAACCTGAATGCACATAAGTCCATGGGACCTGATGAGATGCATCCCAGAGTCCTGAGGGAGTTGGCCGGTGTAGTCATGAAAAGCAAAGCTATAAGTGAGTTATGCAAGTTACACAAACTGAGTGCAAGTAAGCCCTTTCCATCAACACCACAGACTGCACGTTTCCTTTCGGACATTATATTTTTCAGGAAAATTATTCTAGAAATGTGTAAGTAATTTAAAATGGCCATGTGCTTTCTCTCTGGTTTTTGTTCCTCTCTCTGTCAAGTCAGATTCTCTCTCAAAGAGTATCATGAACCTGTGTCCTTCAAATGGGAGAATGAAATGACTCATTCTTGTAGATTAGATATCTAAAAAATCAATACATAAAATACAGGGCTTGATGTTTGTTCACACTGAAACATCATTATATTCTCCCAGCAGACACTCTTCAATTAACATTCTTTTCATTATCAGACTTGTTTAACAAGACCTCGGTGTAAGTCACATCCAAGCCTTTAACTCAGATCCCAGTATCAGTACTGCAGTGCAGAAATCTGACTGAGGGCAGGACTGTATTTGTTTAGAAACAGGAACAGTATTTGCATAATGTAACTGAGGCCTTGGAATAAAATAACATGAGAAAATACCATGCTGCCACTCAGTTTTTGTTTCAGCTTATGCATAAGGAACGTTGGGTATAATTTGAGGAGGTGTCTCTGACAGACAGAGATAGTCCTATTTAAATGGTGAATGCTACCAGGAGGTTAAAAAATGTGAGCAGTGTAATGTCTGGGTTTGGAGCCAAAACCAGAGCCTGCAGGTAAGATCCTGCTGCATTCAAGTCAATGCTAAACCACTCGCTGACTTAGCTGGGATGAGAGAAAAGGGCAGATCTTCAGCCTGATGCTGTCAGACCCATTCTTCATCCACCACCAGACAGCAGTTCCTGCCTCTTTGCCACTTTCTGCTCCATTTCTTCTCTGTGTCCATGCCTCGCCAGTCCTCAGCCAGGGGCTTCTTCATTTCCCCCACAGCTTCTCATGAGGAGATTGTTTCAGCTTCAAAGAAAGCAAAACATTTAGGAAAAAAATAGGAAAGCAACATTCTTTTATAATTTTTTTTCTTTTATCAGTGTTTTTGAAACACCGGAATGGGTTGCCCAGGGAGGTCCCATCCCTGGAAACATTCAAGACCAAGTTGGACAGGGCTCTGAGCAACCTGACCTAGTTAGCAGTGTCCATGCTCACTGCAGGGGGGTTGGACTAGATGACCTCTAGGGGTCCCTTCCAACCCAAAACATTCTATGATTCTATGTATCGCCCTATGCATTCTGCCCATTCATTTACAAAGCATAACTAGAGTTTCCAACAATAAATTTCACAGGAATGATTATGAAGAGGTCATATTTAACACTGTAAATAAAAGGTAACACAACAATAAAATTATAGTGTGAAGCATGCAACTGGAAGCAGAAGGGGATGAGACTACAAAAATGCATGCATTAAGGCAGGTACGTTTACCAAAAAAAGTTGGTTTTGCAGCCAGCTTTTCACATAGTGACATTGAGAAAAGTTCATCAAATTAAATAAATGCCTGAATATAAATTGAACTGAGTAATTCAAAGCCACTTGTAAACACCCATCCTGAATTAAGGTGGCCTTTTATTTGGTTGAATTTTCTTCACTATAGTAATTAAACTAAACTAAATTAAGGTGTATTTAATTCTGAAAAAAACCAGGAGATTAAATAGAGTTTAATCAGACACTTTAAAAATCAATTCATGTTACCTTTTTTTAATTGTCCCCATGTAGCAAACCCTAGCCCTAAGTCTAGGTAAACCAATTTTCCTTGTATACCAGCAACAGTGCCCAAGCTGCATCTCACATTCGATCCACAGTCAACTGTAGAGGCAAAAAGTAGTAACTGCTTCCAGTCAGACAATAAATCCAGAAAATGTAATACGTGCATATGCTATATGTGCAGTTCATAATGTACAATTGTAATTAATAAAGAAAAATCCCTGAAGGCCAAAATCAATGATCTAGAAGACCAAATAGACAGAGCTAAGAGCTTTACTGTGTACTCTTTGTAAAATTAGCATCTATGAAAACCCAGAGCATCTTTTGGTGGGGGCTTGGGGGTATTTGTTGGATTTTGGTTTTTAAAGTGTGAAATTAGTATTTCCTAATCTTAATTACACTTGATTCAAATAAAAGTTTATTTTCAGGTTAAAAACAGTGGTGTTAGATTGCAGCTATATAGACATATGCATCTTCCTCCTCCTCTTCCTAAATAACTACACCAGCAGCCATGTTGCCATCATACACTGTACTAGAGTTGTCTCCAGAAAGGGTCACTAGAGAAGATGCCAACATTGCACTGCCATAGCCAGAGGCAGACAGCATAGTAAGGCTACTTTCTACTGAAATGAAGCACCCATTTCATTTTGTACTGCCCCATTCCCTACCACAGTATGCTGTGATTTTAGAGAAAGTCTGGAAAGTATTTGACATAGCCCATCTACAAAAATGACTCTATGCTGACATCAGCAAAAAGATAAGTTGGTATGGGGCAAGTCCTTGATATACTTAATTTTAGTTAATCACCTCATGCACCATATCCTTCCCTGCAAACCAATTATACCCAATCACCAAGCATACAGGTATAATATAGATACTGACCGTTGGAGGATTAAGAACATGAATAGAGCAACTGATAAATTTCCTGACACACAAACTTTCTCAATTAATTTTGCAAACATTTTCTCTTCTTTTGCTGTACAGTGTACAGAGTACATAGCTTATTTTGTTAAATACATAGCTCACAAATAAAGACTGATTTGTTAAAAAATGCTTACTAATTAATGAAAATCAATCACCCTCCCATGCCTTTTTCAAAAGTTAATTCCTGGGTTGGCAGGCCATGCTTATTAAAACAAAAAAGCAAATCACAGTTCTGTTTTGCTATGTTTTCTTAATTTTTTGTGTGTAGATGGTTACAATAACTGTTCTTTTAATTCCACAGAGGCCACAGGGTCATAGTGTTGTGGAGCTTCTCACTCCAGGCAAGCTGGGGTTAATAAAATTAGCATGGAAAGTTAAGAAAGATGCAATGCCATTGTCAGACCAAGTGAAAGGTGATTACAGGTAATGATGTATTCTATACACCCAGCTCTAAGTTACTTTGCATTTCTGTGCACATCAGTAGAGAAGAATTTAAAATAAACTCTACCCTGGATTCAGTCTTCCAACATTTACTGGCTGCATGTTCTGAAGATTCCTATAGATAAGCAATTTGATTATGTTGCAGAATTCTATTAAGATACATAATTCCATTCCATTTCTTTAGAGAAGACTGGTAAGTAGGTAAGCATCTTAGCACTTTCTTTCTAAACCTGTTTTCAAACCATCAAATGCTATCCAGTTCCAGTATCAGGAGAGCTAAAAATGCATGATTTCCTTATTTGAAGTCACACCTCCAAAAAGACATTCACTGAAGGTCATTTTGCTCTTGTATGAAGAAAGCTACAGTGTGCACTGTATTATATGTCTATTAAAAAAAATTTTTTTTTCAAATATTCTTAAATCTTGAATTAAGACATGTCTCAGACTACTTCATTTTCTCCTACTACCCTCTGAGCATTTTCACATCCACACATTATGCCGGTGACATTTTAGATCATCAGAGTTTTTTCTATCAGTCACTGTCAGATTAGAACTGATGAAAGTAACTTATGTTTCAAAGGGATACAATTGTAGCCTTCAAAAGTTAAGCAAATACATCATCATGTATTCAGATACACTCCCATCCACCTTTTCCTGACTTTCCTCATCCAAGACTGAAAATTCAGGGGTAGAGGCAACATAAAGGTGCTGACAAGAATA